AAAATCCGTTCCACTCGGATGATGTGGGGAGGTGCGCGATGGTTGTCATCGGTCCGAGATATATAGGCGTACGATGGTATCGTATACTCAACGCCATCAAAATTCAATGAGTCCAAATCGACCTCTCCTTCCTACAAAAAATCATAAAAATTCAATTCAATATATAAAGAATCACAAGCGCAGTTCAAAAATCTTCCAATTGCGGGAAACTAGGGCGGTCCCAGCGCGCGAAATGCAAATCTAGCACTTTTACATTGCTGGTTCACTAGTATCTGTTAAAATGTCGCTCAAATACAAAAAAAAAAGAGCCAAGATAGATTAGCTGTATAGCAAACCATTGTTGCACAATTTTTTTCAGGAGCTGAGAAGATTAGATTTGCAACGAGGACTTATGGAGATAGATAAAGATAAACCTGTTTTTCTATCTCTTGATCATTGCTTTCTCGACGCTGAATCTCCGCCTCCTGGTGTATCTTAGATTTCCGCAGCTTTTCTACGGCCTCTAGCACATCCTACAACAAAGTATTGACCATTTTCACAACGCGATAGCTACTTTATAATGGCATACATTCTCTATGGCAGTGAATGCTGTTGATACAAGAACTCCTTTACATTGAGCATCTCTCTCTTTGATGAAGGCCAGCTGTAGCTCAGTAGCATCTTCGAATAGCTGCAAAAGATTATATCTGGGCAAACCCTGAAACCACCAAACGGCCACAGAAATAAAACAAAAGAGAACAAGTGCATTCACAGGTGGCTTGGCACTGAAATAATGAGTGAAAATAGAGTAAAATACCTTCGAATCACTCCTACTAAGCTCACGTGCACGATCGAAAAGGTCGAAGAAATCTTTTTGGAAACGATCTAAGCGTCGATAACGTCCCTAAATAAACAAGCTGTTTAGAAAACAAAAAATATCGTAAACACAAAAAAAGGGAAGAGGAGGGTAGACGGAAAAGTCTAATATGTCTCTACCTTGTCGATATTCCGTTTGATCTGATCCAATGAGAATGGCCATTCATCGCGAGGTAGACCACGAGCTTTGAGTAATTCTGGTAGCTCTGCAAAAGAGTCACATCGACAGCGCCCATCGGAGTCCTGAAGTAAGCGCGATTTGATCCTTGTTCATTGAAGCAACTTGTAAATGTATAACTTACCTTCTTAGTGAACACAGAAACGAAGATGTTTGTGAACATGCTTCGAATCTCCATCTGTACCCTGGGTATACAATCCTCAGCAGCGCCTAGCTCGCGCTTCTTCTCAAGTACCAACCGTTGCAGAGCAACAGCATCCTACAAATATCAGAATAGTCCACAAAAGCTACACCAGTACAAAGTCTTACCTTATAGATATCACTCTCAGGTTCGTTGTATTTGCAAGCATTTTCCAGCATGAGAGACATATCAGCAATGATGTCCACCCATCTCGCATAACCACGAGACTGCAGCCGTTGTTGGATCCGTTGAAGATCCATTGGCTTTTTGATCACTTCATAGTAATCAGGGTACTCCTTAATGATGATATGAGCAGACGTCTTCGAGACAGCACTTCTTTGACAAGGTACCTCTTTGGTTGGAAGTCTCACAAAAGCACTCGCAAGCTTTCTTCCATCAGAATCCGTAGCATCACGTACCAAGGTATACAGTCTCCACATTTGTTGTTCATGTGGAGGGAGCCTGAAAGAGGAAATAGGCATATTTCTCTCACGCTTAACAATAATCCCAAAATCACAATTTTGGAGTGAGACTATATAAACAAAGAGATCAATGATGGATTTCAGCAAGATTTCTTGATTCTAGCAGAGCTACAAAAGCTGGTGGAGAAA